ATCCCGGCGCCCGAGGGCTGTTGGGGGGCGCGGGGAGCTCCTCTCCGCCCTCTCTCACGCTCGGCTCCTGCGGGTCCCCGAGGGTCGCTCCACGCGCCCCGCCCCGCCCCGGGGTCCCGCTCCCTGCAGGCGCGGGGTGCAGGGCCCGGACTTTACCCGATCGGGGATGCGGCCGGAGCCCCCATCCTCGCGAGTCGAGGGATCCCAGCGCTCGGGGACTGGTGTGTGCCTGTGAACTTGATGGGTTTTTCAGTCCCCCGCAGTCCTGGCTGTAGCGGATGTCACGGTTTTGGAGACATGGCACTTTCATTAAAGATTCTTTCTGTACAGCATTTTCCTGCGAGTGCATTTTCACTTGCTCTCTTATTTTATTTTATTTTTTAATATTTACCAGCCCACAGACTTTTAAGACAAAACGACACTGAAATTTTAGGACTTGTGCAGAGAAAGAGGTTTTATGCTAGTTTTTAAAAGAGTAAGGTCGTATGTGATCTTTTTAACATCGTTTTAGTTTAAAGGAACGATTCATCGCCACTCTGACCGATTTTGTTTTGCAGAGATTAAGCAGATGTGTAATATGGCAGGGAAAGGAAAGGACAGGAAGTCAGAAATCGCTTCATTCTGAAAGAAAAAAAAGGACTATTCAAGTAACAAAACCAATCATTTTGAAAGAGACTCTGAAAATAAAGTGTAAAGTATCCTTCTGGATAAAGTATTTTGTAGGCCTTGTGAAATTGTGTTAGTTAACCAGAAAACAATGTGTTGTTAAATGGGGCAGTTTTATCTAGTAACTGTAGTGTTTAAAAACATCTGTGTATGATAATATTTGTTGGATTTTAACTGGGGGAAAAAAATCAACCTTGGAAATGCTTTTCTATTTGGACAAGGCAAGCACTGCAGTCTCTAATTAGAGTTTTGGAATAAACTCAAGCTGTGTTAAAAACCTATTTTGTGGAGCAGCAGAACAGAAAACATGTCAAATTCTGTATCTGTGTAACTTTAAATATGCACACACAGAGGCACACACACACAGAGACTAGCCCTAAAAGATCATTTGCATAAAAATACAATTACTTGGATGCAGAGAATAGTTAAGAAATTAGTAGAAAATGAACATCTGGGAAAGGAGTGTATTAATTGGCAATTTTCTTTCTTTAATCTCTGAAAATATTAAATGATTTCCTAAGAATCAACTTAGTTTAATGTGCTCATTAAGACAGGCAAAATGATCGGGGCTCCTTTTGTATTCATTTTGTTTTAGGGAGCCCCCTAATGAAAGTCTTCAGCTGATAGTTCCTCTGCTTGCACTGGTTTTCAAGAGGACGTTGTGAAGTACCCTGCCATGGCATGATCAGTGAAAGAAAATTTAGGCCACCCTACTACTGTCTTTGAAGCACTGCTGATCCAAAGCATCTTCAGCATCACCTTTGCTGTGTCAGGGGTGATCCTTCCCATCAGAAATTAAGCTTTAGGCTCACTTTGGCTCCTAATTTGTTAGCAGCTTCTCATTGTGCGATCAGAAAATCGTGCCCTCATTCACAATGAGTACTCATTCATGGTTGTGTCTTGGAGGTTTACAGGGGGTCTCCATTCAGTTACCTTTGTGCAGTTCTCATCAGCATCTTGTGAACTGGGGCCAGGACTAGGACTTCTGGTTACAGTTTGGATAAGATGAAGGAAGTCGAGGTTGCACATGGGGAGATGTAGGCCACTGCTACCTGTCTTGCCGTGTGACAAGAGTGGAGTGTGCGCTGTATGGATTCGACAGGTACTGCTTAGTCACTGCTCAGTAGTACTTTTTCTAAGTCATCTTCTATAGCACTTTCACTGTCATTTTTTTTTTTTGAGTTGAGTCTCACTCTGTCACCCAGACTGGAGTGCAGTGGCCTCTCCCGGCCACCGCAGCCTCGACCTGCTGGGCTCCGGCGAACCTTCTGCCTCAGCCTTCCGAGTAGCCGGAATTACAGGCGTGCGCTATCACTGTCATTTGACTGTGATCATTAAAATTTCTGTACATAGAACGGTATCTTTTGCAAGCATGGCACAGGACCTGAGGGTACAAATATGGACAGACTTACGTGATTGAGTCTGTTTATTGTTCTCTGAATGATTGTATATAATTCAGCTAATCAGTTCATTCCACCACTCTTCTTCCCTTCCACCTTTGAGTGTAACCACACAATTAAAATATGATTCTCTTGATATAAACAGTTAAAAACCCAGTAAACATAATTATAGAAGAAAAACAAACTTTTCTTTTTTTTCCTTCCCTTTTTTGAAGTAGTCTGCTATGAAGGTGTTATTTCCTTGACACATCAAAATGGCTAATTTGGAGTTGTGAGGCTTGTTATGTAAATAGGCCATATGTTGAATTTCTACAGAAGTTTATTCTTTCTGTGTCGTGGAAATGGATAGGATCCCCTAAGTACCAGAGCTGAGAAAAATAGTCTGTGAAGATCTATTTCTATTTACATAATTAAAAAAAAAAGTTTATTAGGTGGTATCTTTATTTTTAAAAATTAAATTTATTTACTATTTTATTATAGAGATGTGGAGTACAAGTAAGGATTAACTACACAAGTAGACTGCATGCAGGTGAAGTTTGGACCTCCAACTGGCCCTCACTTTCCCTGGTAAAGGTCCAGGTACCCTTTGTGAGGTTATATGTCCCTCACATCACCTACCCAAGCACCCAGCGACTGCTGATCCCTCCCTTGTGCTAATGTGACTAATGTTCAGGTCCCACTTATGAGTGAGAACATGCGGTATTCAGTTCTTTATTTCTGTGACAGATCACTAGGTATGATGGTCTTCTTAAACGGGATGTTTTCTTTTTTTCTTTTGAGTTGGAGTCTCACTCTGTCGCCCAGACTGGAGTGCAGTAGCACGCTTCCGGCCACCGCAGCCTCTACCTGCTGGGCTCCGGTGATCCTTCCGCCTCAGCCTTCCAAGTAGCTGGAACTACAGGCGTGCACTACCACACTCGGCTAATTTTTTGATTTATTGTAGAGATGAAGGCTCGCCAAGTTGCCCAGGCGGGTCTCGAACCCGCGGGCTCAGGCAATTCACTCACCTCGGCCTCCCAAAGCAGGGGATTACAGGCTGAGCCACCGAGCCCGGCCTAAACGGGATGTTTTCTATCTCTGCATCATACAGATCTTTATTTTTAGTCCTTACCAAGAAACCACTCCCATTTACCCACTTGCTTAATTAATAGACTTTTCACGGTGGATGTCTTACTGTCAGGCTACAGGCTGCACGCCTGATAACAAACTTTTCATGTTCTCTGCTAAACTTCTTACTTTACAATGAAAAGACTTTGCTTTGCTCAATACTTGTAGCATTCTCTTTATCACCCAGACTGGAGATCTAGGAAGTAGCCCTGACTGTCTCTCCTCTCTCTGCAAAACTGTAGGTCGAGGCCTGTTCCCTCTTCCTTTGTCACCATCTCCCCGAGTTAGCCCCACATCTCCTCTTCTTTCTTCACTGGCCCCTCAGGCCCTAGGCCATCAGCCATCACTGTTTTCTAGGATGACTCTAGTGGGCATCTTGGTCTCTCTGATTGCCTTCTCCCCATTCTGCTCACTGTCAACCCTTCTAAAGCTCTTCTCCTAAGAACCATTCTCCGATGATTGTCTCGTGAGAGCACTACATTGGGCTCTGGTTTCTCTGATTCTAAAGCGGGTGCCCTTTCCAGTAACACACTTTCCATGGCCTCCCCCATGACCCAGCCTCTCAGCCCGGTTTGGAGGTGCCTCAAATTAACTTACCAACTTCATTTTCTACATCTTTCTATCTTGAACCTTCTGTTCCTGCAAGTTGGATCTTGCTGCCCTTCTAAGATGACATGCTTATTTCTGTTTGTGCCTTTTGTTCATGCTCTGCCTCTTCCTTGTTTCTATGACCTAACCACATTCAAGTGCAAATTGGCCTGCTCTGATCATGTTACTCCCATTGGCTTCTTTTCCCCTTTGGTTGCATAGTTCCTTTAGACCATCTGATCCTCCTTTCAAA